GGGGTCTCGCTCTTGCTCAGGCTGGTAATCTATGTTTTCTTGTAGCATCAAAGCTCATTTCTTTTTATCACTGAATAACATTCACTGTATGGATGTACCGCAGTTTATTTATGCATTCATTCACCTACTGAAAGCCATCTATCTCAGTTGCTTCTGGTTTGGGGCAATTAAGAATAAAGCTGCTCTAAACATTTGTGTGTAGATTTTTATGTGGACCTAAGTTTTCAAATCAGGTAAGTTTTCAAATCAGTAGGAGTACCACTGCTGGGTCATGTGGTAGACTATGTTTGGTTTTGTAAGAAACTGCCAGACTGTTTTCCAGAGTGGCTATACCATTTCTCATTCCCCGCAGCAATGAAAGATAGGTCTTGTTGCTGTGCGTTCTCACCATCAGTTTGTATTGTCAGGTTTGGTTTTTGCTTGTTTTTTGTTTTTTAGCCATTCTAACAGATGCATAGTGGTATCTCGTTTTAATTTGCAATTCTCTAATGACAAACAATGAATAATGCTGAGCATTTATCATATGTTTATTTGCCATCTGTTTTTCTTCTTTGGTAAGGTGTGTGTTCAGATCTTTTTTTTTCTTTTTTGAGACTGGATCTCACTCCGTTGCCCAGGCTGGAGTGCAGTGGCCTGATCATAGCTCACTGCACCCTTGAACTCCCGGGCTCAAGCAATCTTCCTGCCTCAGCATCCTGAGTAACTGGGACTACAGGCATGTGCCACCACACCCAGCTAATTTTTTACTTTTTTGTACAGACAAAAAAGTAAAAAATTACTTTTGTGTACAGAGTCTCACATGTTTCTCAGGCTGGTCTCAAACTCCCGGTCTCAAATGATCCTCCTACCCAAAAGCCTTCCAAAGTGCTGGGATTACAGGCATGAGCCACTGCATTCTCAGCCTGTTCGGATCTTTTACCCACTTTTTACAACCATGAGGATTGACAAGGCAAAATGGACCGTCACCTTGCACACAGTATCCAATACAGGCCTGGGTTAGAAGAGAAACACAGGCCCTCTGAGTGCAGAGCTATTAGTTGTACCCTGTATGTGATCTGAGAGACCAGCTTCTGCAAATTCAGAAATCATGCACAGAAATACTTGTACCAAACGAGGTTTAGGATAACACACCCAGCAGCAAGATGGATCAACAGAGGAGGCGATAGATAGCCCAGGGAAATCCTCACTAAGGAGCTGCCCCTTTAACTTTGGTGTGATGGACCCATGAAGAGCTGTTTAAACCATAGACTACTGGGTCCCACCCGCAGAGTTTCTAATTTAGCAGGCCTGGCCAGGGATTTGAGAATTTGCATTTCTAATAGTTACCAGGTGATGCTGATGCTGCAGTGAAACCGCACTTTGAGAACCGCTGGTCTATACTATGTGGCTTGCTGTGGTTACTTTTTTATACACTTATAAATGCCTTTCAGATAGCTGTGCTTGGTAAGAGATTGAAATGGGCCTTTAAAAAATGTTCGAGGAGAAAATAGAACCATGCAAGTTAGAAAAAGAATCCCCAGAAGTTGTCGAAATGATTAAAACCTTATCCATGGACCAAATGCAGATGTCTGGAATGTATTGAGAGAAATAATAAAAATACGGTTCTTGGAAAGTGAACTACAAGGAGATATATAAGAGACAGGGATGAAGAGAGTGGGGACAGGGTGGTTTAAGAATTTTCACAGTTTGATCTGTAAACTTTAGTATTATTTGAATCTTTTATATCTTTTATCACAAGAATGTATTCACATATTTATTGGGCAGTGAAGAAAAATGATGTTAGGAATATTAGCATCTGCTCCTCAAGAAAAATGCTATTTTCTACTATAAGGACTAGACAGAATGCTTTAATATACTTTATTTCAGTATCTCTCACCCATGGTGCCTTTTCCTGCCAGGGAACATCTGACATAGTCTGGAAACATCTTTGTCGTAACTGGGGTAGGAGGGCGTGGTGCTGCTGGCATATAATAGGTAGAGGTAGGGTGCTGCTAAACCTTCTACAATGCACCGGACAGGCCCCCACAACACAGAATTATGTAGCCCAAAATGTCAGTGGGGCTGAGTGGAGAAATCTATTTGAATTGGGCTCATACCAGTGGTTCCCGGATGTTTCAGAGTAACATCACACTATTTTATCTGTTTGATTCCATAATATCCCTCATGTCTCATAAAAATCATACATATGTGCATTTAAAATTTAGCAAGAATTTAAGCCCATTTTGAACTGCGTTCATAAAACGTGACTCCCTTTTAGGTAACTAATAATGATAGAAGGGACTAGGTAAGTGGGTTTGTTTGCTTTTTTAAGCCAAGAGGGAGTCACTGCTGTAAACTGTTCCAGAGTGTGACTGGCTGGAGAGGCCATGGTCTGAGTCAGTCATTGGTGTCCACCCAGAAATGTCATCACACAGACATCAAGGAACTGTGGCCTGGGACAGAGCAGGAAGGAGAAGGGGAGCTACTACTGGGTGAAAGGATGATTCTGCCAGACTTCTCAGCCCTCCCAGAGTGAACTACAGGGTCACTCACCTCTCTCCAGGGCCACAAGAATTCCAGGCTTCCTCTGGTTAGGAATAAACTAGTGATTTCAAGCAAACACATAAATCTGTGTTACTCACACAGATTCAGTTAGCAGCTCAGAAAAACCACATGGGTTGCCTAGCAACAGCATCCCTCTCTCTCCCCACATTCCACATCCTCTGGGCTGTGGGGTGCCCTTTATTAACCTTCCTAAAAGGGTAGCCTAGGATAGTGTTTAAGAGGGTGGACTCCCGGGAGCAGAATACCTGGGTCCTGAATCCTGGCTCCATGACTTACTAACTGTGAAACCTAAGATTAAGCAAGTTACCCCACCTATCAAATGGAGGTAATATTAGTTCCTCGCACAATCTTGGTGGGAATTTAGTGAGTTAATATGTGGGTGATGCCCAGAGCATAACAAATGCTCAATAAATGTTAGCTCTTTTTTTTCTCTACCTCTTATATCCCTCTTCAGGGTTTCCCTTTAACCAGATTTCACCAACACGAATGTTGGGGGGCCACGAGGTCTGGGAGCTTGTGATGTCTTTTGCCCCAAAACTGCCTTACCTGGCCACGTACACATAATTCCTGTCCCCTCCCACTTTTGTCTCCTACAAAGAACAACATAATTTTTCTTCCAAGCTCAAAACAAGTTTGACCTTCAGATACCTTTTTTCTACA